CCCAGAGAGCCAGGATTTCAACCAAAGTTCATCTGCCCCTGATCATGGCAGGACACTGGGATCAAGGGGTCTGGGGAAGGAGTCAGAGTAGGGTTGTGAAAATACACAGATGATGTAGTAACATCAGGAAGATGGGGGTATAATGAAGCCAGATACAGTGACAACAGAGAGGTGCTTGGAATCCTGGATATATTACAGGAAGGAGAGAGAAGGGCTCCAGAGGCTCATGGCTGCTGCCATCTTGATTGCAAAGCACGGAGGGTGGGTAAAGAACTGGGGTTGACAATGTGACACAAGTAACTAAATATAGACTCGGGTGTCTCGGAGATGAGCTGAGATTGGAGAGGAGATGAGCCCGCAATTGACTGTTCATAGCGAAGATCTGCCAGGAGGAACAATTAGGCAGATCGAATGAGACTGCTCTATGAGAGCCTTCTGGAAGTGGTAAATTGTGAGGATAAACTTTCAACAGCTTGAGTCACTGATCTTGGAAAGTGGAGCCTTTTAGAGACTATGACAGTTTCACTTCTTAGGGAGATTATTCTTTCCTTCTTTTACAGGCAAGAGAAAACTTAGCAAGAATAAATTTTAAATGGTCATAGATGAGCCATAATTTAATCTGCCTGATTGCCATCTTATTTTCCATGTTTTATCCTTTTTTGATATTGTTGCCATCACAATGGCCATGCTAATGCCACTTCCTCTTGACAGCATGTAATGAAGACTTTTCTGTGTTTCTTACCAGTTTTCACAATTTAGAAAAATAATATTCCATCCTGTGGAAGGCCCAGCAACATTTGAATAGCGTTAGATCGGTTGTCTATCCTTATGCCTTTTAAGCAATTGTATTTTTCTTCTAACAAAGATCTCACGTATTTATTACTGAGCCAACGCACTAGGTGCAGAAACATACATGCAAAGAGAAAAATAATTCCCTACACAGGTCCAAACACTGAGGTCTTCAGTGTGATGTGGCCAGACACTGGTGGCCCTGATGCTCTTGAGCGCGCGTGTCATCTCGTGCGAGGCCTTCCAGGCCCGCTCACTCTCTCCAGTGTCTTCTCTTAGAGCTGTACCTGACGTTGTTACCAGTTTTCAGTCGAATCCACTGGGACGAGTCTGCTTTTGTTGCTTGGCCAGGAATTGTTGATCCTTCAATGTCTTGTGAGAAGACCCAGGGAGGAGCGGAGTCAGTGCACACAGCTCCATAGCGGAGAAAAGGAGAGAAATTTGCGCAATTGTATTTTTAAGAAGTTATAAAATTCAGGGGCCTCCCTGGTGGCGCAACCAGTTAAGACGCAACCTGTTAGGACGTGGCCTGTGGGGCTATCCGCAGCGTCTGCAGCACGAGTTCCATCCCTGGCCAGCCAGGGAGTGACCCACATTGAGCAGCAGACCTCTCCTGACTCGCCCCTAGGAGAGGTCTGCCACACCATGTGGGACTTTCGCCGGCCAGTTGGGATCGAACTGCGCTGCAGAGGCTGTGGACAGCTTTACAGCACTGCGCTCAACCGCCTGAGCCACCAGGTGAGGCCCTGGATAGATGGATCTTTAAAAAAAAAAAAAGAAGTTGTAAAATTTAGTGAGATTTTAATATCGTGGAATAACAAAAGTAATAGTGGTGGATGTAACCTCCTTCCATTGGTTCCCCAACAGCTTTGGGTGAATGGAGATGCCTCTGCAGACGCCTGAGACTACGGTTTAGAAAACTCTGGACAAATGAGTTTGTTCAAGCAGCAGAATCTTTAGACCTTAGAATTGGGCCTTCTGGATTGTTCTTTTATATTTTCTATTGTTAGGTCTCCTAAGTCTTTTTTTTTTTAATATTTTTTTAAATATTTATTTTTATTTTTTTATACAAGCACTGGGTACAGTCAGAAGCGCGGGAGGGCGAGAGAATTCACCAGAGCCAGAGCGGGGAGCAGAGCAGGCAGAAGGACCGAAGTACACTGCTGAGGGGAGCAGCGGGCGGCAGGAGAGGTCTGCGCGCCATGCGGGACCCTCCTCCGGTGGCCGGGGAGCAGCCAGGAATCGAACCGGCGCTGCAGAGGCTGTGGGCAGCTTCGCAACCCAGTGCTCAACTGCTGCGCCACCACGGAGGCCCAGGGCTCCTAAGTCTTGTAGGTGAAGGTGGGTGAGTATTAAACCCATTCCAGCCATCCAGGTGATGAGGAAGGCCTAGAACAGTAGAGAGTAGAAGGGTGGAGATTGTGGATTTAAGTAAAACTGAAGCAGAACAGGCAGGACATGATGACCCCATGGGTATCGGGGATGAGAGTGAAGGCAGAATTGAAGTTTCTAGCTTGGATGGCAATGTCCTCACGCAAGATAGAGGCTGTGAGTTATAGGCGGAGGAGCTAGCTTGGCAGAAAAAGAGAACGGTTTAAGTATTGAGGAATCTGGAAAAAGTGTAATTCCTCGGAAAGGATAGGATGATGGGTTCTATTTTTGTGTAAGGGGTAGTTACATATGTCAGAATGCAAAATGGAGACAGTTAGTTTGACTCACTTTAGGTAGCAAGTAGACTCAAGAGGACCTGAGCCCTGTCAGTGGCAAATGGGAATGGAGTGGGCACAGGTTCCGTGGGTCCAAGAGCACACGCAGAGTTTAGTGGCTAATTAGATGCAGAGGCCGGGACTGGAGTTCACCTGCCATCCCAGGCATGAGTAGCAGTGCCCTTAGCCAGGCCAGGCCATCTGGGAGGAGGGGTATGTTTCGGGGAAATCATGCTAGGTCAGCCATTTTTGACACGCTGATCTGAAGTGTCGAGAGACACACAGCAGGGATAGACACTGGGCACATTTGGGTGCCATTTCCCTGAACAGGCTGGCTCTGCAGCTGCTAAATGACTAACAAAAGGCTCTCCAGTGGGAAGAAGCGCCTGTTGGTAGCATTTCCTGATTTGTGTGCTGCATACACACCCACGATGGCCAATTTCAAGCTACCAATGTGGTTACTAAAGTGGATTTGGGAGGTGTGCAATCAACCTTCAGGAGCCCACCTGAAGGTCCAGCCCATTACTGTGACTACAGATGAGGCTAAGGTCTCCCAGACATGGCAGAACCCTAAGAACCAAATCTTTAGGGGCAGATTGGAGAGGAGCTTGCAGAGCATAGGCAATTTGTCAGAAGGAAATCCAAGAGCAAATGGACACAGTGAGATCAAACCTATGTCTGGGCCCATGCCAAGGTTTCTAGAATTAGCTTCCTTCATTCACTCATTCCTCAGCCACCTCCCTGTCAGGCTACTTGAGGGCAGAGACTGTCTAACTCAGCTTTGTCACCAAGGCATAGAGACCAGTAGACAGTCAGCAGATAACTCCAGGAGTATCTCAGAGACATGTCCGCCAGTTTTGTGAGGCAACATTTTGACTCAATGTAAGAAAAATCTTCCCAGCAAGCAGACACAGCCATTTTACCTGACCCCTGCCAGTTGTTCCCATTGTTCTGGAAACTTGTAGCTACTTCCCAACCACAAGGTTCTCAGTCACTATCTTCTTGCTGCCTCTACCAGTTAGTCTAGATGTGGGCACCTGACCCAGTTGGGATTTTGGGAACCAGAATCAGCCGTGGGAGAGGAACAGCAAAGCAGGTGTCCGCATTCGGAGCTGGCCTGTCCTAAAGCTAGCTTTACCACTTACTTTCTTAGGTGAAGCTGTATTCCCACCTCTCTTCTGTGACACTCCCCACCCACGCAGCCCTCCAATAAGGCTCCCTTTACCTGTAGCGGGAAGCTGGATTTCCATACTCTGCAGCTGTGTCTCGAGTTTCCCACAGAACCCTCCCGACCTGTCTGTCATCCGTGCCAATCATGTGCTCCTCACCAGGGCATTCATGCAGCTTAAATGGTCACTTGGAAAGGGTTCAGCGAGGGGGTTTCGACTAACAGAGGGAGCCCTCAAGTGACAGTGACAGTGGCGGTTGCCTCCACTCAACACTCCTGTCAGGATCACGTGGGCGCCGAGGAGGGGCCTGGCTTCGATTCTGGTTTGCTAAGACTCAAAGTTCTTAATTACTAAGACAAGGCTAGAGGTTCGCAAACCCTAGTCCTGTAAAGTCTCAGGACCCCTTTGTGATATTAACTGAGGACCGCAGAGGCTTTGTGTGGGTTACATCTACAGATCTACCATAATGGAAATCAAAATCCTAGAAGACTTAAAAAGAACAAAACCCATCACGTTAATATAAATATTTTTATTAAAAGTAATGATCCTTCAAAACAAAAAAAATTAGATGAGTGGCATTGTTGCACATTTTGCAGCTCTCTTTTATGTCTGACTTAATGGGAGCCAGCTGGGCTCATGTCTGTGTCTCCGTGCAGTATGGTGCTTGGTTGAAGCCTGTAAAGAAAACGCGGCCTCGCGCAGACATGCAGTTGAAAGGGAACTTTGGGCTCGGGCGCCTCCTGAAAGGGGCTCAGGTACAGACCCACCCTGAGAACCACCGTGGGGCGCGGCCCCCTGCTGCTCAGTAATGACTATGGGCCACAGAACTGGGTTAGAACTGGTCACTCCTTCCAGGGCCAAAACATTTTAAAGAAATTAAAAAAAAAGAAAAAAAAGAAATTGCAAAGGCTGGTGGTAGTGAAGGAAGCTTGAATTCTCTTGTGAATTCAATTTTTCAACTCAAGTGCATACTTTATTCTTTTTTCAGTCAAGATTACATATTGAATGTTTTCAAGTTTACTTTTCTGAACTGAGAAAGCGACATGTCATACACAAAGTTAACATCTGTACAGTAGTTTTACAGTTTACAAAGTCTCTTTTTGTGCCCACGTGATGCCATTTAGTCCTTGGAGGTTACTTTGTAACAGGGGAGGGCAGCTGGGAGCAGAGGGGCAACCTGCCCAAGACTGGTCCAGTCACCCGGCTGTGGACAGAGGGCAGCTCTGCTCTGGCGCTAGTGGAAAAATGGCTCTCTTTCAAAGGCGGGCTTCCCACCTCGGAAGAGGGGACCCCGCATTTATGTTCACATTTTTCACATACACAAGAGACAGCATCTGTTCTAGAATCCAACTGGACTTTATTTGACACAGAATACATATGGCTGCAGGAATAGCAAACTGAAGAGACAAAGCAGAAAAGACACGATTCTATCTAATTTATAATTAAGTAACAGGAGAGCAAGTCATCAAATGAATAGCAAAACAATTAAGCTTGATGGAAGAATTCTCTTTTCCTAGTGCCCATACCTAAAAGACAAAAATAAATCATTTTCTTAATTCCGTAGTAATGTCCTGTTTGAGACTCTAAAACCTGCGTAAACACATGAGCAACGAGGAGACAGAAGGGGCTGCTCTTGTGCTCTGAGGCACCTTCCGTCTCCCGGTGTGTCCTAACACCATGCTGCTGCCCGCCCCCCTCCCACTCCACCTCAGCCCCTCCCCCGACTCGCATTCAGGTGCCCAGGTAGACGATGGGCAGGATCGGGGGAAGGGAGCAGTGAAAGGAAACTCGGGTCAGTGGCTCAGAATGCCTGAGCTCTCAGCCTCCTGCCCCCGCAGCAGCCTGCATTCACCTCCACGCCAGCCTCAGGCCAGCGTGGGGTAAGGCAAGTGTGGAAAACAGTAACTGAACAGCCCTCAATTTGAAAACCTATCACCCGTTCCAATCTCAGCCCTGACGGCATTCAGGACTACAGAAAGAGAAACGTGGAGGAACTAGGTAGGGTTTCGGATTTCCCCAGAAGTCAAAATGTGGCTCTCACGAGATTGTGAAAACAAACAGGACCAGGACATTCTTTCCACACATCAATGGATTTCTCGAACACAAATCTTTCATCATTCTCTTGCTTGATCCTGTGTCCTGCTCTTTTTGGGCAGTCAGCCTGTGATTAAAGTAATTTCTCGAATGTGCGGAAACCAGCCGCTACGCTGCACCACTGCCTGGGCCACCCTGAATGATGACCAGCTCCCTCAATCGACTCCCACAGGAATCCGCTTAAAAACTTTTGTCGGTAAAAGTAGTTTTACTGAACCCCTCACAGTGCAGAGTCCTGATCTATGTTGGGCTGAGGACAGCCCAGAAGTTCTCTACCAGATCAAAGGACACTGGAGTGTGGTCCTGACGCGTGTTTTCCTGACAAACTGGCAGTGACTGCTGCCTGGCAGAGCACCAGTAGGGTCCGGTCCGGTGGCTGCGTCTAAGCCCAGCGGAAGGGCCCTGCCCACCTCCCACTCAGCAGGGGGTGTACGAGGGGCAACACAAGGCAGCTTCGGTCCAAGATGGAACCCTGAGGCTGCTCCAGGGTGGAGCCCACTACAGAGGCTTCTGAGCACCCAGGCTGTGTGTCTGCCTGACGTCTCTCATGCATGTCTCAGCACGGATGCTCAGTGGAACACAGCCTGGTGGCATGAGGCAGACACTGAGAATTTGACAAATTTCTTAAAAAGGTAAATATATATTTGATAAAACTTCCAAAATTCTTTACCAAAATAAATAACCAAGTCTAAAAGCAAAATAACTGCCAATAGAGGATTTCTAAACTAAAGAACCCTAGTTTTTATTTTTCAAAAGCCTAAGAACATGTTAATAGCCAAAACTATTTAACTAGAAATTCCCCTTCCCATAAATTTTTGATTAAAATCATCAATAATTTAACAGTAAAAGGGCATTTCATGGGAAAAAAATCATGAAACTATATGAAAAATAGCCCAGTCTCACTAAAAAAGTAAAAATGCAATTGAATACTAATTTTTAAATATCAGCATATATAAAATGAAAAAATTTAATAGAGCATTGGCAGGAAGAGAGAAGGGGCTGTCTACACTGCGTGGAAGGAGTGTCGAGTAGTAGAAATTCTTGGGAAGGAAAATCTGACATTATCAAAAATAAAAATGTTCACATTCCTTTATCCAGAAATGCCTCTTTTAGGAATTACTGCTACAGACACACCTGCTGAAGGTAGTTACCTCTGGAAATACAGGAGACGAATAAACCAAAAGCATTTTCTGTGGCAAACCCTTTCGACCACTTGAGTTTTAAAAAACTTACACGTCATGATTTCTTTACACGATAATGGAGCGGAGACATCCATAAATGTGAATCAGAATTAACCAGCACGAGACAGAGCAATGGGACATGAGAGGTGGACCTAACTGTAGCCCAAAGCAAAGGCACCTGACACCTATTAGCCCATGGAACCTTATCATGGACTCGATTCTAGAAATATTTAATAAATGTTTGAAGATTCTCAAATATCCCCTATCCAAAGACTCCAGATATAGTATTTGGGAAACCGGAGGCTGCAGCTTCTGATGCTGGTCACCCCTCTGCCATGTGGGTGAGCCCCCACTTAAAGCATCAAGACCCAGTTCAGAAAGCAAGGCGCCTCTCCCTCTCCCACCCCTTTCACCCCCAGCGTGGAGTGAGCAAAGGACCGCGCCGGCCCAGCCCAAGTGAAATGCAGCACAGCTGAAACACCTACTTTTGGAATTCCCACTCTCTGTTGTCCAACGGACACACTTGTCGTGTTTTGAGCCAGCGAGAGATGCAGTGGAAGTGAAAAGCATGCTGCAAGAGAAGACACAGTTTATTAACAACAGCCGTGTGGACCCGCTCCCCGACGCCAGCCCCGAGGGCTGCGGACTGGCTCAACAGGGGGCTCCTGGCGCGCAGAGGATCAATGGGAGACAAAGGACAATGACAGGCAAAGTTCAACAACTGGTTACAGTGGGCGAGGGACGCGGGTTATTTCCAGCGACATGTTTGCTAGAAATGTCAATACTACCAGAGGGAGCGCGACCCGGGGAGCTTGGCCCGGTCCGGGAAGCGGCTCTCCCCTTCTGAAGGGAGGTGGAACGTGGTGTCCGGTCCTATGGAGCCTTAAGGGGTGAATTCAGCCTTCCTTGGACCTGGGCAAGGAGGCCCTGATCACGTGGAGATTTCCACTTCCTCCTCCTGGTCCCCAACTGTGCTCCACCCACCCACCGTGAAGACAGCCCCGGAACAGAGACTTCTCCTCAGCCCTGGCCCCTACAGGCCACTGCCCCTGCCCAGAGTTGAGTCAGCACCACCTTCCTCACACGCCCAACTCTGCTCAAAGGCCTTCATTTCCAGATCTGTTCACAAACGTACTGACAGCAAAGGTATGTGGACTCGGTAAGTCTTCAATGGGTGAGGGACTTTGTCTCAAAAAGGAATGAGATGAGGGCCTCCCCGGTGGCACAGCAGTTGAGTGCTGGGTTGCGAAGCTGCCCGCAGCCTCTGCAGTGCCGGTTCAATCCCCCGCTGCTCCCCGGCCACCGGAGGAGGGTCCCACATGGCACGCAGACCTCTCCTGCTCCCCGCTGCTCCCCTCAGCAGTGTACTTCGTCAGTCTGCCTGTTCTGTTTCCCGCTCTGGTGAATTCTCTCACCCTCCCGCGCTTCTGCCTGTACCCAGTGCTTGTATAGATAAATAAATAAATCTTTAAAAATAAATAAATAAATAAATAAATAAATAAATATAGAGCTTCTTTAAAAAAAAAAAAACAAAACTGACTCCGTGAGTACAGTGGAGTCTACTCTGCACTATGGACACTCAACAGGGCAAGTTTTCTCCTAGTCACAGCTTTTGGCAGGGTCACTTCCCTGTTAACTCTCACTCAACTCACAGTCAAAGAGAAAAAGCAGTTTCCAAAGGGCAGGAAGCTGAGGCAATTTCCTCAATTAGCAGGCCCCGGGGGCTGGCTCATTAAGGGCACCGAGGACACCTTCTCTACCTCCCACCCCCGAGGGTACTCTGCAACAGCACAAGGTCCTTGTGCAGCCCAGCGACCTCTGAGGAGGGGGGGGGCTGTAAGGAGGCTGCAGGACAGGGGACGGCAGCCTGACCCGCTGTCCTCCGGGCAGAAACCTAAGGTACACTCACGGGCCCCTCAGCAGCACGACACACCGAGCGGTGCTGGACAGCTTACAGAAGGCACTAGCCGGGTGCCGGGCTGGTGGGAAGGTACTCCTCACCGCGTGACAGGCAGGAAACTGAAACCCCCGACGGGCGACTCACTTAATTCCTGGACCGTGTCTGTTGCAGACCCAGAACTGACCAGGGACCAGCCTGAAGGTCACCACCCGACACTGACTGGCCCTCTTTAACGACAGGCGCTCAAACCTTTAGCCAAACCTAGGGGCATGCTCACTTCCTTCATTTTCCACCACAGAGTAAACTGGTCCTTAGTTCATGTCTGAATGCCACGGCGACCGATATACTCCTTCACCACCATACACATGAAAGCTGTCCCTTGGCCGACACAAGTTACTGAGAAACTGCTCCGAGGGCCCTGACAGGACTAAGAAAGCTGCCACAGGCGTGGATGGGGACGAGGGGCACAAGCCTGTGGGGAGCCACCGGGACAGCCACCATCTCCTCAGCAATCATCACCACCCCACAGTTGTAATTCTTCAGTTACTTAACGAGCCTCTGTGCCCACTAAGTGCCGGAGGGAGGCAGCCTCTCTTCGTGCCATTTCACTTGGAGGACCCAGGCTCAGAGAGGTCAAGACCCTTGCCTGACGTCACTGAGAAGTGCAGAGATGGGGTGGTCTGACTGCAGAGCCTCTTAGGCGTGTGCCAGGCTGGAGCTGTGGGTCCTCGGTTCCCTGGCACAGGAGGCCTGAACGTTACAATTTTGTCTCATATGACTGGATGACATAACCATAAGGAGGAATTTTTAACACATGTTAGAAATAACATATTTGATGTTTACCATCCACCACAGCTTTTCACCCCTGGAAAGCTGCACATTCAGTCCAGCAAGGCTGCATAGCGCAGGACTGGCGTGAGCCATGTTAAAAAAAAAAAACCCAAATCCCAACTTAGTTCATTTACCACACACAAAACACACACCTGAAAACTAACTTCTTCGGGCCTCCCCAGTGGTGCAGCGGGTTGAGCGCAGTGCTGTGAAGCTGTCCGCAGCCTCTGCAGCGCGGGTTCGATTCCCGGCAGGCCAGGGAGATTCCCACATGGTGTGGCAGACCCCTCCTGTGACACCCACTGCTCCGTCTACCTGTTCTGCTCCCTGCTCTGACTCTGGTGACTCTCTCACCTCCCACTCCTCTGGTCTGTACCCCAGCTCTTGTAAAAATAAATAAATCTTTTAAAAAAACCAGCAAAAAACTAACTTCTTCAAGGCACCTAATCTTAAAAAAAAATCTGTTATGCAGATAAGGCTTTCCACCAACAGAATAGTCAAAGACTGCGCCATCTGCTTGAAGGCAATCCCCATGTTGCTAACAAAAATGGGTCAATTTATAATTAAGACAAGCTAAGTGCCCCTGCAATAATAATTTGTACCCCATACCAGGTGAGCAGTACAAAGATTTCAAATCTGTTTTTACTATTAGTATACCTTTTGGGAGAAAGGTGGGTTAGTCATTGTTTCTAGTTATTTTCAAAATTGGCAAAGCAGGAAAAGTGGCAATGTTTATAAGCCAAGCTGATATGAAAGATGTTTCCTTACATTACAGACGCCCCATGCCACGGTGCACTCTTCAGAAGTAGCCGACGCTTGGTTAGCTTGACATTCTATGCCTGTGGGAACAAGAGCAACAAGGTCACTGGGCCTTGTGCAGTAGAGGTGCCCACCCAAATAGATTCTCCCGTGGTTAGTCAGTCATAACTGTATTCTAATGAACGTGGAAAGGGGTGACGAACAGAGAAGGTGAGATGTGGTCTAAAATATGTCCCACCCCGATTTTCCTACTCAACCAGTGGACGAGGCACTTCAGATTCTAAAGTGACCTGACTGGCCCAAGTGGCATGGATTCCTACTAATTTGATACCTTTAATAAACTCTAAACCCTTCCTCTTAACTGTAATGTCTTGAGAACTGGCATCTTATCCTTACTGCCACTGAATGTTCCTCTTAGACCCTCACAGCACCCAAGCTTGCCCACTGGGAGGCCCGGCTGGGTAACCAGCCCCAAGCCCTAAAGGGGTCAGGAGGAAACTGGTCACCTGCGTGATACCAAATAAACACAACTTCACAGAAGGGGAAGGGACTTAAAGAGAATAAAAATCTGACTGGGATCAAGAACTGATGAGTTAAGAGCTCTATGGGGGGCCTCCCCGGTGGCGCAGCGGTTGAGCGCTGGGTTGCGAAGCTGCCCGCAGCCTCTGCCGCGCCGGTTCAATCCCCGGCTGCTCCCCGGCCACCAGAGGAGGGTCCCACATGGCGCGCAGACCTCTCCTGCCGCCCGCTGCTCCCCTCAGCAGTGTACCTCGATCCTTCTACCTGCTCTGCTCCCCGCTCTGGCTCTGGTGAATTCTCTCACCCTCCCGCGCTTCTGACTGTACCCAGTGCTTGTATAAATAAAATAAATAAATCTTTAAAAAAAAAAAAAAAGATCTATGGGGATAAATATTCCAAGAACAAGAACTACTAATGTGTAATTTGCTTTCTCTGAAGGTGGTAACTAAATGGAGTCTCCTCACTGAAGAATAAAAAGCTTGAGGAGAAAATATTTAAATAAGGCAGGCAATTACTCCAAACTTTCATAGGTGGAATATGGTAAAATTGTAAGAACATAATGCTGAGATGTGAATGGTGTATTTGGTCTTAGGGGAAGAGAGATGCTGTTAATTTTTTTTTGTCCTTCAAAAATACCAAAGAACAGAGTTTTCTGAAAACCACAGAACTTGCTTTTGTTACCCAGATTCACATTGCCAAGAGAATAACTGGGTGTTTCTTCTGATAAGAGCAGAGAATTGAGGCTCTACAAAATATATTCAAGAACTGACTTGGGGGGGGGCCTCCCCGGTGGTGCAGCAGGTTGAGCGCAGCGCTGTGAAGCTGTCCGCAGCCTCTGCAGTTCGGGCTCGATTTCTGGCCGGCCAAAGGGAAACCCACATGGCGCGGCAGACCTCTCCTGCCTTTCCCGCTGCTCCCTCAGCAGTGTCTTTGGTCTGTCTACCTGTTCTGCTCCCCGCTCTGTCCCTGGTGAATTCTCTCACTCTCCCGCGCCTCTGACCTGTACCCCATTTCTCGTATAAATAAATATTTAAAAAAAAATAAAAAAAAAGAACTGGGGTTGTGAATATGCTGTCATATTCAAAGAGTTGGCAGAGAACAAAATCTGATGCCTTTCAAGTTAGATCCTCTATCTTAAATGAGGGCCATGGATTATGAAATTAACTAATTAAGAAGCACTAATATTATTTAAATAAATAACAAAATTATTTCAAGGTATATGATCATGTTTAGACTTTTCTAGGCCTACTGTCTTTAAGGGACTCGTCTTTCTATCCCAAGCACAGTCGGCTCTCAGTTCTTGAATAATGAAACAAGTCACTTTTATAAATAGATAGGTCCCAAATATATATTTATTTGTCATCAGGAGATTCCTAAAAAGGAACATAGATAGGAGGGACAGGATCACCATCCGGAATGCTAGAAAAGCAGATATGACATGAGAAATCACTAAACATCAGTGAAAAATGACCTTAAATTTCAAATGATCCTGAGCTTTTGGTGCAGAGTGAATGCCTGGTTTAGTTGTTAGTTTAAACAGGGGAAGGAACTGCCGTTCATTGTCAACCTGGAGCGGGCAAACAAGGCCGTCACATCCCTACAAAGGCATTTCACGTGATTTACAGGGCAGGGGATTTTTGAAAACTCCACACCAGAGCTCTGCCATCAAAGGGCTGCTAAGGGGCCTCCCTAGTGGTGCAAGGAGTTAAGTCTCAGAATATGAAGCTGCCTGCAGCCACTGCAGCACGAGTTCGATCCCCACATGGCGTAGCAGACCTCTCCTGTCTTACCCACTGATCCCCTCAGCAGTGTATTTCAGTCAATCCGCCTGTTCTGCTCCCCACTCTGTCTCTGGTGAATCCTCTCACCACCCCCCCCACCTCTGGCCTGCACCCCAGTTCTTATATGCATAAATGAATAAATCTTTATTTAAAAAAACAACAACAAAGGGCTGTTAAGGAGGCACTGTCCTCATCTCAACACTGGGCAGATCACTCAAATCACTGGCTCAGGTCACTGATGAATCTGTGGCTCTTACGGGCAAAGGTTGGGGTCTAAGCACTGCTAGATGCTCTCTCTTCTGTGACAAGATCGCTTGAGATAACAGAAAATAACACCTAGCAGATCGTGTATTTCAGCAAGTCTCTAAAACCACCAAGAAATGGGCAAAGTAAAACAAAAACAAAGCCAGCATAGGGCGTGCAGTACCAAAGAGGACTCAGAAGAGGAAGTCTTCAGACCAAGAAACTTCGGTGGGGAGCACGGCTGCAGTACAGCCAGGGCGCTCGCTCATTCAGAGCTGTGCATGCGATTATCCATTTAACTTTAAGCCAGGCTTTGTTAGAAAATGGCCACTGCTGGGCCTCCTGGTGGCACAAGGGGTTAAGACGCAACCTATGAAATATCTGCAACCTCTGCAGCGTGAGTTCAATCCCTGGCCAGAGAGATACCCACGTGGCACAGCAGACCTCTCCTGACTCACCCGTGCTCCCCTCAGCAGCGTATTTCAGTCAATCTTCCTGTTCTGTTCCCCATTCTGTCTCTGGTGGATCCTCTGACACCCCCCCCCCCATCTCTGGCCTGTACCCGTTCTTGTATGCATAAATAAATTAATCTTTAAAAAAAAAAAAAAAGGTCACTGCTAAGTCAAGATTTTTATGTTCATCTTTTAACAATAAGTTTCCACAAAAATCAGAATCCGTGTATTTTTGAAAGGAAGAAAACCCAGTTACGGCAACGAGACTTCTCTTTAGAGTCTGTAATAAGCAAAAGGGAAAAGACTTGATCTCAATCATTATTTATTCTGGTGCCTAGCACAATGCTCGGGATAGAAATACTCACTGAATGAATAGAAGACATGACCTGAAAATACATTCATAATTTTTGTTATAGGAGATCAGTATTTTACTTCTTCATCTGTAATTTTAAAAATGTGATAAAATAAGTCTCTAACTGACAGTGATTGCTCTAGCATCCAGCTCTCAGAGGGGGATCTAAGGCCATTGTCTGTCATGGTCCTTCCAAGAAAAGCATTCCCGGACTTAAATATAGAGGTTAACAATCAGCATTATATAAACACTTATTTACAGGGGCCTCCATGGTGGCCCAGGGGTTAAAGTCTCAGAGCTATCAAGCTATCCCCAGCCAGTGGGGCCTGAAGCTGATCCCTGGCCAGGGAATTGACCCACATGGCGCAGCAGACCTCTCCTGTCTCCCCGCCGCTCCCCTCAGCAATGTATTTCAGTAGATCTACCTGCTCTGCTCCACATTCTGTGGTGAATCCTCTTATCCCCTGCACCTCTGGCCTGTACCCCAGTTCTTGTATGCACGAATACATAAAAATAAATCTTAAAAAAAATTTTTTTTACAGAAGGGAGCTCCAAGAAAATAAAATTTTCTCTGGGCACACCACTTTGTGAAAATGCACAGCAAAGAAACTGGCAAACGTGTAATCAAAGACCCCACTGCCACACATTGAAAGCCCTGCATGTGTTTTGCTGTGATGGGCTCCTTCTATCTGTATTAATGTCATGGTAGCTGCTGATCTTCTTTGCAGTGTGGAAAGGGAAACACAGTCAAAACTCAAAGAAACCCAGGTCAATACAAACTACCAACACGTGCCATGACTGTTTTCCAGCCAAAATATTTGATAGCTCTCCAAGTTGTGGTGACCGCAGGTTATTACCCTATTTTGTGTCTTTATTCACTCAGCAAATATTTAGTGAGAATCTATTATGTACTGGACACTATGCTAGTTGCTGGGACAACCGCAGTAAATAACATAGTGATGACAGAGAACCAATGAATGAAATGACGGCTACAGAGGGAAACTGCACGCGTCGTGGGAATATTTATCACAATTGTCTCAGCCTCTGTGTGTGTGTGTGTATTTAAGTATAGTCAAGAAAAAAATCTTTGAGCAAATTCAAGGTGAGAGCAGAACACAACTATGAATTTGATCTGCTCTGTACAATAAAGTTGCCACAGGCCACATGTAGATACTGAGCACCTGAATTTGTCTCGTCTGCTATCAGAGGTGCTGTGAGTGTAAAAGATGCTCTTAGATGTACTACAACAAAAGAGACTAAAATGTTTCACTTTAAAATAATGATCACGGGCCTCCCCGGTGGTGCAGCAGTTAAGCACTGGGTTGCAAAGCTGCCCGCGGCCTCTGCCGCGCCAGTTCGATCCCCGGCTGCTCCCCGGCCACCGGAGGAGGGTCCCACAGGGCGCGCAGACCTCTCCTGCCGCCCGCTGCTCCCCTCAGCAGTGTACCTAGGTCCTTCTGCCTGCTCTGCTCCCCGCTCTGGCTCTGGTGAATTCTCTCACCCTCCCGCGCTTCTGACTGTACCCAGTGCATGTATAAATAAACAAACAAACAAATAAAAATACATGCCTCTTAAAAATAAATAAAAATAAAAAATAACGATCACATGTTGAAATGAAAATATTTTAGCTATAGCAGGAAAAATAAAATACAAATCATATTTCTTTTTAATTTATTGATGTGGGTACTAGAAAAATTTTAATTATGTATGTGCTTGAATTTGAAGCTCACATTTAGACTGGACAGTGCTGGGTTAGACAAGGGGGTTGGGGGAAGAGGTGAAGAATGTTCCAGGCAGAGTTAAGTGTATATGTAAAGGATCTGAAACGGGGGAAAACTTGGACACTTCATGAATGGAAAGAAAGCCAAAGACATCACTGGAATGACCCAGTGGCAAGGTGAAGCTAGAGTGGCAGGTGAGTAATTTAAAAACTGAGTTCCTATAATTTCAGTTCTAGAAAGCTGAACTTTCTTTACCCGTTTCTGATTTCAGTAACATGCTATTTTCAGTACATGGATGAAAAATCACCTTAATTGTTTTGGTCTGATCATGTTCTTGTCCCTATTACTATGAGGATACTCAGTGAGTCCATCAACAGCTTCAGTGCAATCCACTATGTGATGAAATGTATGGAGGACCTTTCTGGGGCATAGTGGTTAAGTCTCAGCACTATCACCTCCACGACCTGAGTTTGATCCACATGGTGCAGCAGACCTCTCCTGTTTCACCCACTGCTCCCCTTAGCAGTGTATTTCAGTAGCTCCGCCTGTCTGCTCCCCACTCTGTTCTGGTGAATCCTCACCCCCCGCACCTCTAGCCTACACCCCAGTTCTTCTATGCATACATAAATCTTAAAAAAAAAGAAAGAAAGAGGCCTCCCTGGTGGCGCAAGGGGTTAAGCACCGCACTATGAAGCAATCCACAGCCTCTGCAGCATGAGTTCCATCCCCAGCCGGCCAAAGAGTAACCCACATGGGTGCAGCAGACCTCTCCTTACTCACCCACTGCTCCCCTCAGCAGTGTATTTCAGTAGATCTGACTGTTCTGTTCCCCACTCTGTCTCTGGTGAATCCTCTCACTCCCCCACATCTCTGGCCTATACCCCAGCTCTTGTATGCATAAATACATAAAATCTTAAAAAAAAAGAAAGAAAGAAAGAAAGAAAGAAAGAAAGAAAGGGCCTCGCTGGTGGTGCAAGGGGTTAAGACGCAACCTATGAAGCTCACCATAGCCATTGCAGCACAAGTTTGATCTCTGGCCAGGGAGCTACCCACATGGCGCAGCAGACCTCTCCTGACTCGCTTGCTGCTCCCCTCAGCAGTGTACTTTGGTCAATCTGCCTGTTCTGCTCCCCACTCTGTCTCTGGTGAATCCTCTCACCCCCCACAACTCTGGCCCATACCCCAGTTCTCGTATGTAAATCTTAAAAAAAAAAAAAAAAAAAGAGAAATGTGTGGAGGTTTAAACAAAATTTCTGTAGTGAATTAACTGCCGATTTAGATGATAAGTGATGTCTTCTTAGCTAAGCTTATCACTAACATTGAAATTCTTACTTCTTTGGCTTTTCTTTATAAATCCTGCACAGCAGAACTAGGTCTGATAGACTATTTCAACTCAAAGTTCATTTTCTTCCTTTCTGCCTTTGAGTGTGGATATAAGATGGGAAATAAAGCGAAATAATCAACAGTGCCTCTGTGTCCACAACTGGTTCTAAATGCGGCTTTGCCATCTTTAGATTGAGTAGGGTTTATTCTGAGACGGGTATGTCTCCAGAACATCATAAAAAATAAATTATTCCACTTCAAACATACCAATGGACTGGATGCAGAGGACCCCACGTGCTCTGACTATACTTTCCATCTCCTCGTAAAGAAAAACTGTCGCATCAGTAAAGTCCTAATCTCTGTAACCATCTCAACTTCCTCCCATCCTCCTCCAATTACTTACAAAGATCCATAATGTGGTTCCTGCAGATGGCACAGTTATCAACCACAATATCCCAGGCCCACAGGGCTACCGCATTCCACTGCAAAGAAAAAAAGGGGGAACAATGCACTCTCCTTGTAACACACACACACTAGCAATTCACGCTGCAGCTGCAGTTATCACATCTTTTTATCATCACCAAACAAAAGGGGTTTTGGATATTATAGTATTCTTTTTTTCATTATTCTTATTTATTATATCAGAGGGCAACAGTAGGCTATACATATGCTCTTGTGTTCTCCAAACTGTTGAGTACATGTACACAGAAATGAGTAATTTTTTAATCTTAGTTTTTCCCTACACTTTAAAATAATTTAATCAGCCATGTCGATGTAAGCAAATCAGGAATAATTTTTAAGTGCCTGGTTTAAGGTTTAATAAAAACAAACTTGAATTACTGTGTAGACTGCCCTGGCAGTTGCAGAAGAGCTCAAAATCTGCATAAATAAATATGTGCTCTACAAGGCGGCTTGGAAGCAGGAGTGGGGAGGTGAAAGCTAGGAACAGAACGAACTATAACTGGATCGTAAAATGGGGTAATAGTGGGATAAGCTGGGTAATACCTAGTATCGGTATACAGAACAAGGTCATCACTTAAATCTCACAAGATGACTTCTAAGAAACTCTAGAATTCACTAGAATTTTGTTTAGTTTCTACCATCAAGGAAACTGATATTCTCAACTTCTACAAGTTCAGACTTTTACAGCTAAGATCATTCCAAGAGAAGTTTCTCTAAAAGTGGTAGCTAATTCAACCTTCTGCAATAATAAATATTCTCAAACTCTTTTCTCATTCCCAAATTTGGTGCCACTTCCCAAACCTTCATCTCGTTCAAACCCAATTCTCGGTATTGGGTAACTTATCACTTTTCTCCCGACAGCTTCAACTTGAAGGAGAAAATTCCTATTTCTATTATTCTTCAATATGGCTGCTGGCTGTAACTGAGCATGCAGCGTTCACAATGAAACGCCAAAAAAGCCCTGGGAGGGGGGAATCTTCTGTCATTGCTTAGCCAGATGTTCCAAGAATAACCTCTTTCCTATTTTCAGAATCATCATTTTGAACGGATTTATTTTACCTTAGGTGAATCTTGACACTTTTCTCCCAAACTGTTGGTAAACCACTATCAGGCATTTCGTGCAAAATAACACGTTCCACATTTTTGCTTTCCCACTTTTACCAGCTCATTCGCAACTAGAATTCAGTCCTCCCTAAACGACTCAAGATTCGGGTTCGCTTTTCCTTTGATCAAATTCCACCACGCTCCCCACCCGCCTCGGAGAGGGATTCTCGACACTACAGGCTCAAGGGGGCTCCGTGACACACCAGCAGACCTCTCAGGAGGTCCAAGAGTTACACTCTTTACACACTCGGACTCCCCAGGGGCCAGAGAACCGGCTAATGGAGGCCTCGATTAGTCGAGGACCGGGCCGGGCCACCTCAGAGCCAGGGGGACCCCAAGCTTCGGAAAGGGGCGGGGCAAGATCAGCAGCCCGGCTCCTCCGAAGCCTCCAATGCGGATCCTTGGGGTCCGAGCTTTCGCCGCACTGGCCCATCCTCCACCCACCGCAACGTTCCGACCCCCCTTCCTCCCCCACCCTCCCCTTCCCCCCACTCCCCCCCCAATCCCTCCAGTGACAGCTCAGGCGCTTGGCTCCCGCAGCCAAGTCGCAGCCTCGCGCATCTCAACAAGCACCCCCTTGATTGGCCCCTCAGCCTCCCAGCGACACCCAAACGGCCACTGCGAGTGGGCCGTGGTCACGCCGATCAGCCCTAAGGCCCGCCCCCCGGCTTCCTTTCGTGGTACCCGGTCTCCGGAACGCCCCGAAATGAAGCCCTTTCCTCTGCGCCTCGGTGTTCCTCGGGCCTGTCAGCCAGATCCGAGCCTCTATAGCTTCCCTGAGGAAGGCGCTGGCGAAACCCAACCTTTTTCACTTCAAAGCGCTTCTTGCCCGCGCCGCTGTTGGTGCCGCTCGGGGTATCCACATCCATCGCTGCCGCCATTTTGGAAACACACGGTCCGTCTTCCGGCCACTGCGCCTGCGCACGAGCGCACGCCCCGCGCCCCGTCTCCCCGTGCCGGCGCCTCCTTCCGCACCCCCCCTCCCAGGCGCGCGAGGGGCGGGCGGGGGCGGAGCTCGCGGCCACGCCCCTTAAAGGCGCTGGCGTAAGTTTCCCCCGCCGCCCTCCCCGCGTGTACGGGGGAGGAGGCGGCGGCTGGGCGGGGCCGGGCGGGGCCGAGCGCCCGACGTGAGCGGGCCGGGCGGGCGTGAGCGGGGGACTCGCCCCGTCGCCCCCCGGGAAGCCCCCGGCCGCGCTCCCCCGGCTGGGGCGGTGGCTGCTTCCTCCGCCTCGGCCGCGACCTGCCGCCCCGGCCCCGCCCAGCCTTCCTGCGCCGCGCCGCGCCGCGCCGCGCCGCGCCCGGGCCCGCGTCTTCCTCCGCGGCCCGCCGGGCGGGGCCGGGCCAGGCCGGGCCGAGCCGTCGGCGCCCGGCCCCGGCGCGGGGGTGTCGGGGCCTCGGCGGGAGGCCGCGCTCCCCGGCGCCCGCCCCGCGCCTCGCGGGCCGGCGGCGCCCGGCCCCGCCGTCACCTGCCCACCTGCAGCGGCGGCCTCGGAGCCGGGACGCGCCCGCCCGGGCCGCAGCGCCCGTCTCGCCGCGGCCGCCCGGCTGCAGGCCCCGTTCTCCTCGGCCCCGGCCTCTCCCGCCCCGGCGCCGCTGCGGGGAAGCGCGGCCGCTCCCCCGCCGGCCCCGCCGGCCCACCTGGCCCGGCCTCCCTCCCTGGCCGGCCGGGCCCCGCGCGTCTCTGGCCTGGCCGAGCCGGGCGTGGCTGGGTCACCCCTGAGTCTCGTGCTGGCTTGTTGGGAATCTCCCGTTTTCTCTCACTGGGGAGTAACGAGGTGTGCGGACTCCATTGCTAAACCGGAAGAACCGATTTGTGTCCTGGTCTTAGTCACAAACAGGAACAACAAACCCGTGAGACAACAAATCCCTCACCACGGCGCTAGCCAGGCTGGGAAAGAGAAAAAGTGACCGAGGCCGTAGAACGTTCTAGGAACCCGAGCTAGAGCCTCTTCGCCCAAGTTTTGTTAAATGCGTGGTGATGCCATGTTAACTTCTGTCACCTCATTTACTGTGTCCTTGAAGGTCGCTATGTTGTTGCTAGAAACCCACAGTAAGTGAAGGTACTGAGGGCGAATTTATCTTTCAACAATTTCACAGGACATGAACTTGCTCCTGATGAACAGGAGAGACCCAGTAATGGAGTCAGACGAATCCCTAGCAGGAAGACAATACACAAGTTAGCACATACATCAGAAAACGTCAGGTTTGGAGAAGAGCTATGAAAGACAAAACAAGGTCATGAAGTTGAGGGGAGGTGGGAGATGAGGTGAGACTTTTGTGAGGAGTAACGTTTTAGTTACTGAAAGTGCTTAAAATAGGGCCTCCCTGGTGAGGCACGGAGGCAAGGGGTTAAGCACAACACTATGAAGCCATCAGCAGCCACTGCAGGACGAGTTCAATCCCCAGCCAGTGAGAGACCCACATGGCACAGCAGACCTCTCCTGTTCCACCTCCTGCTCTCCTCAGCAGTGTATTTCAGTTGATCTGTCTCTTCTGTTCCCCACTCTGTCTCTGGTGAATCCTCTCACTCCCGGCACCTCAGGCCTGTACCCCAGTTCTTGTATGTATAAATAAATAAATCTTTAAAAAGATAAAAACAAGAAGAGGGGACATAATCTGATTTACGCTTTTAAAGTTTTTAACTTTCTGAAGAAAGAACTGTAGAGATAGAAGATAGGAAGGAGTAACAATTTGCAAGTTGTTTGCTTTCTATAAAGAAACTAAGGAAATGGATGGTCTTGGGGACAGTTCCTTTGAGCTGCGGGAACCTCCTGTACTGATCTCTCCTTTGGAGACTTGCTTTGTGGCTACTGGCCTTGACATCCTATATGTTGGATTCTGCCCCCCGAACCTAAGAAAAACTTTTTGCAGGTTGCATATAGATTCTTAGACTTCCTCAATCTCACTCAGTTTACTGTGCAATAGGTTGTAATTCTGTTATAGGGCAGCCCTGATACAAAACAGGGTGCCTGACTGTGGGTCCTCAGCCGCGCGCTTAAAAGGACTTATCAATGCTCTACTGCAGGCACACGCGAAAGGTTCATAAAAGGTTTATTTACAAGGGAAGGGGAAATGAGGAAATGTACAGCTCAGGGAGAAAAGTGGGAGACAAAGTTTTAAATGCGTCCTACCCGATCCGCCGATCAGGAATCCCAAATGGCGCTCTGAGAGCTGGCTGCGAGCCAGGAGCCGTGAAGCCAGGAGGCGAGCGACAGAGCGAGCGACCCCAAGGCCCACGTGTTTGGTTTTTATACCCAACCCTGGCTGCTTAACTCCACCCTCAGGTCCCAGCCACCTTCCCTTTGGTGGTGACGGGATTCGTCTTTCCCAATGTCTTAATGACTTTGGTCTAAAGTGGGGGTGGGGTCCACAAAGCCTGTATGAAATTAACTCAAAACATCCTTTCCCCCTAACAATTCCACCTGCTTCTATTCCTTTCATCCATCCATCTGTCCATTCATCTATCGAACAAGTAGTTCAAAGATATCTACAGAACTTAATTTTGTGTCAACTACTGCAGGGTATTTTGTGTTTTTTTTTTTTTTAATATTTATTTATTTATGCATACAAGAACAGGGGTCTAGGCCAGATGTGTGGGGATTCACCAGAGACAGAGTGGGGAGCAGAGCAGGCGGGTCTCCTGAAATACACTGCTGAGGGCAACAGTAGGGAGACAGGAGAGGTCTGCTGCACCATGTGGGTCACCTTCCTGGCCAGGGATCGAACTCTGCAGTATCTGCAGACAGTTTCATAGTGCTGCAACTTAACCCCTTGTACTACAAGGGAGGCCCTGGTATTTTAAGTTTTTCCAGAAGCCCCCTTTCGTCATTGAATATAGGGTAGCAGAAGAGTCGAGTCAATTAATGATAATTCCAGTGAGCTTCAGGAAAGGGGAAGTACAGGGTGTTTGTTTTGAAGCAGAAAGCAAGCCAGTGGGTGGGGCAAAATCCTCTTAGAGAAAATAGTATGAGATTGAAGGATGGACCAAAGAGAAGTGGATGCAATGGTATGCTAGTAAATGTTTTAGAACAGTTTTTTTTTTTTTTTAATAAAAGCCCTCATTTGTAGCTTTAACAGCCAGATTGCAAAAGTCCCTGAAAGTTTTAACAATTGCTCTTGTGAGCTGATGCAAGCTGTCTCCAGCACTCACATAAAACTGAGGGATGTGGAAGAAGGTGGCTTTCCAGGTAGAGCCAGCCTCCCGCAGAAGGGGCTAGAGAGTGCATTCATTGAGTCTGGAATGACTGGGGTGGGTGTACAGCGAGAGTGATATAAAATAAGTCTGCATAGATGCATAAGAGTCACTTGCTAACATCTCTCCAACGCATATTTTGCAATGTCATCTTGCTGGTTTAAAATTAGTCAAAATAAGGCTTCCCCGGTGGCGCAGCGGTTGAGCGCTGGGTTGCAAAGCTGCCCGCAGCCTCTGTCGCGCCGGTTCGATCCCCGGCTGCTCCCCGGCCACCGGAGGAGGGTCCCACATGGTGCGCAGACCTCTCCTGCCGCCCGCTGCTCCCCTCAGCAGTGTACTTCGGTCCTTCTGCCTGCTCTGCTCTCTGCTCTGGCTCTGATGAATTCTCTCACCCTCCCGCGCTTCTGACTGTACCCAGTGCTTGTATAAACAAACAAACAAACAAACAAACAAATAAATAAATAAAACATGCCTCTATTTAAAAAAAATAAATAAATAAAATAAAATTAGTCAAAATAGTAGTATTTACATCATGGAAATGGGTCCACACTACAAATTTTTTTTTTTTTAAAAGATTTATTTATTTATTTATACAAGCACTGGGTGTAGTCAGAAGCGCCAGAGGGTGAGAGAATTCACCAGAGTCAGAGCGGAGAGCAGAGCAAGCAGACTGACAAAGTACACTGCTGAGGGGAGCAGCGGGCAGCAGGAGAGATCTGAGCGCCATGTGGGACCCTCACCCGGTGGCCGGGGATCGAACCGGTGCTGCTGAGGCTGCGGGCAGCTTTGCAACCCAGCACTCAACCGCTGCGCCACCGGGGAGGCCCTACACTACAAATCTTAAGCCCCCATTGTTAAACAGTTCTCTCTGATAGGGGCCAGGTCATGCAAGGCTGTTTAATGCAGCCACACAAAGGATTTTGGTCTTTATCCTTGGTGATGGAGTGCCATTGAAGGATTTTAAGTGGCGAGTCACATAGTTTAAAAAAATCTTAAATGCTAGAAAATGTGAAATAGTCATACTTTTCCCTATTGCTTTCTCCAAATACAACTAAAAATCCCTGGACAGGATATGTTTAAGAAACAACAACAACAATAAAAAACAAAAAAACAAAACACAAGACTTTGAGAGAGAGAGAAAAGGCAGTAAACCAGTTAGGGCTCTCAGGACGTGAGGAAGGACATGCAGTGAATTCACAGATGGTTTTCTTTTTAACCTCCAGAGTGATGAGAGGCCAACCTTGCCTTATTCACAATTTTAGGAGGAAAATATCAGTATTTTATCATTAAGAACAATGTTAGCGGAAAAAAAAAAAAAAGAATGTTAGCAGCAGGATTTTTTTTAGATGTTCATTATCAAGTTTAGGAAATTCTCCTCTCTTCCTACTTTTCTGAGCATTTCATATGGAAATCCTTTAACTGTATGTCATATTATCAGGCTCTTATTCCAACCTTCTATTTAATTTTATTTTTTAAAAAGATTTATTTATTTATGCATACAAGAACCAGGCCAGAGGTGTGAGGGGTGAGAGGATTCACCAGAGACAGAGTGGGGAACAGAACAGGCAGACTGACTGAAACACACTGCTGAGGGGAGCAGTGGGTGAGACAGGAGAGGTCTGCTGTGCCATGTGGGTATCTCCCTGGCCAGGGATAGAACTCGTGCTGCAGTGGCTGCGGACAGCTTCATAGGTTGCATCTTAACCCCTTGCGCCATCAGGGAGGCCTCAAA